TGTGTGTGTGTGTGTGTGTGTGTGTGTGTGTGTGTGTGTGTGAGCACTCCCTGGAGTTTCTGCCTAGGAGCCAGATAGGCCTCTGCCTCCGGCTCTTGGTCTACGGGGCTGAGAGAGGGGAACACAGCCTGCTCACCTCTGCTCTATTCAGTGCACCTGTCCAGGAGGGCCTCACTGCACCATGGCCTACAGAGAGCCCTCAGGGCTAGCTACAAGGACCACCCAGGGCAGAGAATAATTATCCTCCCTTCCTCCCCAGAGTAACCATCTCAACCTCTTCCCCCAGCCCACCCCCAAACCCCTCCCAGTGCTTCTGGCCAAGCTGGCTCTCTCCTGTCCTTGAACCCAGATTCGGGATCCTCCAGGAAATGCTGCCATATTGTTGGGGGAGGGAAGAGTCAGAACCTGAGGAATTGAAGTCTGGGCACAAGGAGATGTGTCTGTTTTGAAGGTGATTGGAAGTAAGGGCTGAAGTATGTGGGGGGGGGGGGGATCAGGGAAGACTGCATGGAGGAGGTGGCAGTGGAGCTGGGCCTCCAAGGCAGAGTTGTGTTCGAAGAATCAGAGACAGACGATCCCAGGCCTAGAGTTGGAGAAAACTTCAGAAGCCATCTAGCCCAACCCCCTCATTTTACAGATGGGGAAACTGAGGTCCAGGGGGGTGAAACAATTTGAGTGGCACAAGCAAGGTCTGAAATCAGGCCTTCTGACTCCAAAGCCAGTGCCATGCTGCATCTCTCTTTTATTTATTTATTTGGCTAGGCAATGGGGTTAAGTGACTTACCCAGGGTCACACAACCAGTAAGAGTTATGTGTCTGAGGCTGGATTTGAATCCAGGGCCGTTGCTTTATCCACTGCGCCAACTACCTGCCCCACACTGCATCTCTTAAGAGGTCAGAAGAAGTAGAGCAGACCTCACTGGTTCTTATACTCTGCAACTTTCCTTTCAGTGGATGAGGAAACTGAGGCACAGAGAGGATGTCATTTATCCAGGTTCATGTGACTGGTAAGCAGCAGAGCAGGAATAAGAGCCCCAAGTCCGTGGTGGGGGTCCTGGGTGTGTGTGTGGGGGGGAGGGTCTGGGTATAAGAGCAGTGGGTACCTGGGGCCACTATTGTCTGAGACTTTGGAAGGCTGGGTATGGGTTGGCTGGGGAAGAGTAGGTGCCAGTGGAGCTGGGGAAGGGCTTCATCCTGGAGGACCTAACAAGGGCCTCAGGAATGGTTACTGGCAACCTTAGGCTCAGTTAAGAGGGACAGTTATCATAAATGATTGTCCTGATACTGTCTGCCCTGTCATCCATCCATCAATCTTTGCTAAGCACTTACTATGTGCCAAGCACTGGAGTTGCAGGCACAAGACCAAAACAGTCCCTGAGATTCAAGAAGCTCACAGTCTAATAGAGATGATGCACACGGATATAGATTGTTACAAGATATATACAAAATAGGTGCCAGGTAACCTTACAGAGGATGGCACTGGGGAGGGGAGGGCAGGAAGAGACAAAGAAAAGCCTTTCTGCAGAAAGCAGAGCTTGAGCTGAGCCGTGAAAGTTTCCAAGAGCCAGAGGTAAGGAGGGAGTGCCTTCCAGGCATGGCAAGCAGCCAATGCAAAGGCATGGAGACTGGAGCTTCAGGCATGTTCAACAGGAAGCATGTCAGTATGGCTGGACCACTACGGTCAGTTCTAGGTACCATATTTTAGGAAAGGCTTGGACAAGCTGGAGAACTTCTTGAGGGGGAGGGGGATCATGCCACACCAGAATCAGTTAAAGGACCCAGGAATGTTTAGCTTGGAGGAGAGAAGACAGAGACATGGTTGCTGTTGTCATATGGCAGAGGGAAGAGATCTGTGAGGCTTGGCCCTGGGAGGCAGAATCGGGGCCAGCTGGCCCAAGGAAGTGAGGCTGATTTTGTAAGAAAAACCTTCCTAACAATGAAAGTGAGGACACACAGTTTCCAAACTGTGGTCAGAGGTCAGACTTGAACCTAGGTCTTCCTGACTCTGCCTTATACTATCCATGGTGGCAATAGAGAAAAGCCTCCCTCAGGCACATCTTCAGTGCCTTTCCGGCTTGGTAGGAAGCCTTTCATGAGCTTGTTTGGCCCTGGGGTCACTTCTACCCACCGAGAGCCCATTGAGGGAGGCATTGAATAGCACAACACGTCAGTCAGTACGTAACGATGTAGTGGAGAGGCAGGGGACTGCCTGCCAAAAGAGAGTCCTAAACTCAGAACCCTGGTCCCTATTCACTCCCTGAGACCTTGTGACTGCTGCCAGCCCTCCTCAGCAGCAGATTGCACTCAAGAGCTGTGGCCCGTGAGTAAGCACTGCTCCCTGCTCCCTCCCCTTCCGCACGTTTTTCATTTTCCAGAGGGAGTGAGGAGCACAGGTTGAGCGGGCACGGATGACAGGTTGTAATTACATTATCTTCCCCCTCAATTCTCCCTTCTTTCAAACTTCCCTGTTTCTGATAGAGGCACCACCTGGCCCCCACAGCCATCCACCAGAGAAGCAACTCCTGCGGAGAAGGGGTCAGCTGCCCCTGACTGCCATCAGCCATACCGACCTCACTGAAGCCCCCTAAGGTACACACAGGAGGCGGCGTTTATGGAGAACCTTGAATACCATCTCCCCTCAGATGCTGAGAGACCCAGCCCAGGACCCTGAATTCAAGCTGGGACTAGCAGTGCTCCTCACCTTGGACCACTTTCCCTGCTTCCAGTCTATCCCTTACAGCCAGGAACCATGGGAGAAAACACTGGAGAAGAGATCCCCTTTCCTTGACACTACTAACATCAGTGCCACTGCCTGGAGGGCCCCAGGAGTGACAACATCACCCACCTGGCCATTAGTCCTACTTCCAGCCCAGCCCTTGAAGCTATCATCTTGAGCCCCCCTGCCCCCTGCAGCCTGGCACCTGCTTCTGGTGGCCACAGCTAGTGAAGGCTGAGAAAAAGTTCTTACTAGCAATGCCTTTGGCACTGCCAAATGGTTCAACAGTAGAAACTGATACGATTTCATCAGTGGAAATGACATTAGCGAATTACCATCTGCTTCGCCTCTGTTCCCTAAGGATTATGGGACCTTTCCATCTGTCCTGCCGCTGAAACTTTCCATCTGTGTTCTTGTCTCCCCCATTAGAATGTGAGCTCGGTGAGAGCAAGGACGTCTCCTTTTTCCATTTGTACCTGAAGAGCTCAGTGCTCATTCCTTTACTGCTTACCTTCTCTGAACCTCAGTTTCCTCATCTGTAAAAAAAAGGGGGGTGGGGTTTAGGACAACATAAGCCCTCGGGCCCCATGCAATTGTGAGTTATCTCTGTTCTAAGTCCTTTCCAGCTCTGCCATTTATGGGATATTGTGTTTGAAGGGACGCTGGATGTCATTCGAGTATATCTCCCTCTTTTTACAGGTATGGACAGAGGCAGGGACAAGTGAATTGACTTATTAGCTAGGGTCACACCTCTAGCGGGACAGGGACAGGATTTGAACCCAGCTCAGAGCGTTTTACCTACAACACCGGATGCCTCGAATTCTTTGGTTTTTGGCCCCTAGGATATCGGACCTTGGAACTCGAAGGTCCCTTCTGACACACACTTGCCCTCAGGTATCTCCCCGGTGCTACTCTCCGTTCTAAGGTCGTTCCAAGCTCAGACATTTCTTCCACGTTCTATAAAGCATCAGGGGTTAATTGTGGTGATGTCTGGAGCTGGCTGTCGTTGAACACAGAGAGAATTCATTGATTTGTCTATTTTTTAGCTCTGGTGTAACTAGGAGAGGAAGGAGGTGGGGAGGCGGACCGGGTCAATGTGGCACGGAGGACAATTGGGTGAGCCGAGCCCGGGGTTCAATGGTAAAGGGCAGGAGGGTTTGCGCCGCTGGGGAGTGGGTAAGGAGGCCAGAGCTTGAAGAGATCTGAGTAGGGTGGCCTGGGGTACCTGCTGGCCCCGGGCGGTTCTGGTCTAGGTTCCCTCCTGCTCAGTCGGGAGGGAGGCGGTGCCCGGGCACCGGGGCTGGCCCTCGGGAGGGGGCGCCCCCCTTCCCTGGTCTCGCTCCCGCCCCTCTCTCTTCCTCCCTCTCATTGGCAGCTGGAACCGCGTCGGGGGTTTCCATGGTGACGGGTCGCTAAGCATCGAGTCTGTGGGAACCCAAGTCAGACAGCGCGAGCGGGGGAGTCCCGGAGGGCGATCTTAAGAGACTGGCGGCGAGCCGCCCGGCGGCCAGCTGAGTGGCCCGGCGGCGCCTCCCCTCCAGTCCCTGGGTCTGGGACTGGGGGGCCGGATCGGGCCGGGAGGGGGGGCAAGCTCCAGCGGGGCTGGGGCGGAGGGGTATGAATAGGGGGCAGAGCGGGCATCTCGAACCCTGGTTGGGGAGCCGGATCAGGACAGGTGGGGGGAACCTGGTCTTCGGCAGGGGACCGGAGGGAGTATCCTGAGCCCTGGGGGGGGGGAGGGACGTGCCGATCAGGCGAGGTGCCCGGGGGGGGGGGGGGGGGGCGGACAGCCGGAGCCCTGTTAGGGGGTGACGACTCGCAGGACTGGAGAGGACAGGTAGCCCAATCTCCGGCGCGGGGCGGGAGAAGGCAGCCCGACGGAGCCAGGTCAGCTATAGCCGGCCGGCCGGGCAGTCTCTTGGGGGGGCGGGGGGGAGGGCCCCCAAGCCCGGTCGGGGGTGCACGACGGAGCGGGCCCGGTGAGTAGTGCGGGCCGGGTCGGGGGCGGGAGGGAGGGTGTGGACAGGGGGGAGGAGGCTGGCAGCCCCGTGGGAGCCTGAGCTCGGGCAGGGCGCACGCCGCCGGCGGCCCCCGCTCCTCCCGGGGGCCATGAGCGCAGGATGGGCATCGCCGAGTCCACGCTGGACGAGCTGCCGTCGGACGTGGCCGAGCAGCTGAGTAACGGCGAGCAGCTCCTGGAGCTGAGCGGGCGGCGGCTGCGGCGCCTGCCCGCCTCGGTGTGCGCCCTGCTCGGCCTGCAGAGGCTCTACATCAGCGGCACGGGCCTGCGCGAGCTGCCCGACGAGATCGAGGAGCTGCGCGAGCTGCGCATCCTGGCGCTGGACTTCAACAAGCTGGAGCACGTGCCCGAGGCGCTGTGCCGCCTGCCGCGCCTCAGCCGCCTCTACCTGGGCAGCAACCGGCTGCTCGGGCTGCCCGCCGACTTCGCGCAGCTGCAGAGCCTGCGCTGTCTGTGGCTCGAGGGCAACTACGTGCGGCGCTTCCCGCGCGCGCTGCTCCGCATGCCGGCGCTGCAGTCCCTGCAGCTGGGCGACAACCGGCTGCGCGGCCTGCCCGCCGAGCTGCCCAGCATGGTGGGCCTGCGCGGCCTCTGGCTCTACGGCAACCGCCTCGAGGTGTTCCCCGACGTGCTGCTGCGAATGGGCCGCCTGCGCATCCTCGACGTGGACCGCAACCAGCTGGGCGGCTTCCCCGACTTGAGGCCGCTGCGCGCGCTGCGCGTCTTCTCCTACGACCACAACCCCGTCACGGGGCCCCCGCGGGTCCTCGACACGGTCTTCCTGGTGGGCGAGGGCGCCGTCGAGCGCATGGCCGAGCGCGACGAGCCGCCGCCGGCGCCCCGGACGCCGCGCCTCCGTCCAGCCCCGGCCCAGGCGCCGGGTCCTCCGCCCTCTGTGAGCGCGGAGAAGGAGGGGGAGGAGGAGGAGGAGGAGGAAGAGCCGGAGCGCGAGGGGCACGTGGAGGAAGAAGAGGACGAGGATCTGGAGGAGGAGGAGGAGGAAGAGATTGCGCTCTGTGCAGGGCGCAAGCCCCTGGGCCTAGGAATCCCCAGGAAAGGCGAGCCCACTTGAGCTCTCCAGGCCCTGACTTTCTCGACTTTGCTTCTTTCCAGGCCCCAGAGGATACCTGGGCACCAGTAACAGCCGCCCTGGGTAGCTGCCTACTACACAGGCCACTCATTGCTTGGGGGAGTTGGTCCTGCCAGGCTGGGCAGCCCGAAGGGACTCCCCTTTCTACTGCTGTCTGGGCCTCAAACCATGGCTCACCTCTAGGGAACGTCCCCTGCGAGGGCTGCCGACCTCCCAGAGCTGCTGGTGGCTTTGGGACCATCATCTCTCACTGAGTCTGGGGAGGATTGTCAACTATTCTCCTGGCCACCTCCTTCCTCCTCTCCTAAAAGTCACTACCTCTCACGGGGCCTGAGAACCCCAGGCCATCCCCTAGAGGCACCCCTGCTCTGAAGGACTGAAGTTCTTTCCCGCAGAAGAAGTCCTTCTGGGGCACGTCTGCCTCTGCCTGGAGCTGAGACTGGGATGTGCTCACCAGGGTAAATGAGCAGTGTTGGGTAAGGAAGCCTCAAGTTCTGGGCTCCAGGAGGCCAGGAAAGGCCTGTGGTTAGCACAGAATCCCCTCTGTCCCTCCATGGGGAGCCTACATACCTCTTCAGGCTGTTGGGCTTAAGGCCTGCCACCTAAGCAGTATTCAGTAACAAGGAAAGGAAGAATCCTGCACCCTGCTTTTCTCAAACCCTTGGCCTTCTGGAGTTCGGAGTGTCACTGCCTTCCCCCCCCCCCCAGCCCCCCAGAATGGGAGCTGTTCCTTCCAGCTGTCAAGTTTGAAAAGCCGCTGACATTCCCACGTTGTGCCTGTGCTAGGCCTCCAGGTCGGCTCCCTCTGCCCCCCAGAGAGGTTCTCTGTGTGGTGGGAATCAGGCATCAAGGCTGTCACTCCCTGGCTGCCTGCTTTTTCCATGCCCATACATGGGCACATCTGGGGAAACTGCTATGGAGCAGGAGGGGATGGGACCGACTGGCCCTGCCTCACTTCCTCTTCCCTCCTGGGCCAGGGCCAGCCCAGTCCCCATTGCCCCCTCCCCATTCCCCTTGACCAGAACCAAAATCTTTACCATCCGAGCAATAAAGGGGAGAGATTTGCTAGGGCAGGGGCTGGGGGGTAACTCAGGGACACAGTCAGGTGACACAGCGACTAAGCGAAAGAGGGATATTCTTTAAAAGAAAAATTATGCCTGTCAACATAAATTATATTTCCTGGAGAAAGAATCCTTGTTTCCCACATGCCTGTTTATTTATAAGCCCCGGGAGTTTGCTGGGCTCTAGTTAATGTGTATCCTTCTGTTTCCCTCTCTGGTGGCCCGGCCAGCTTTGGTCCTTACCCTGTCGTCATCCTGCCCCACTCCCCCATCCATCCAGCAGCCCCGCCATCTGTCTGTCCAGGCTCAGGACCGTGTGCCAGGCACCACCGCTTTGCTCTCCTTCCATCTGAGCTGGGTCTCGGTCCAGCCGAGCGCTGGCCGGCTCTGTCTCCTTGTCAGCCTGTGTTCTGTTACTTCTGGCCAGCCCAGCTCTGTTCTGTGTCAATGCAGCCTGGGTTCAATTAGTCTAGACCCCAGCCTGTCTTTCTGCTTTGAGTCTCTGGCCAAGCCCTCTCTGGTCTCTGTCTGTCTGTCTGTAGTTTTGGGTTCAAGCTCTAGGCCGTTGTGGTGATTCTCTCTTAGCCCAGATTTTCCTGTGGGGTCTTTTTTCCTGCCCCTCTCCTCCCTCTCCCTTTATCCCATCCCCACACCCCCTTGATAATTTTGTCACTTCTCTGCACGATCTCTGTGTTCTTTGCCTTCCTTCCTTCCCTCCTTTCCGCCATCTGGCCTTTGCCTCTTTTTGTGTTTCCCTTCCTGTGTGCGTCCCTCTGCCTCTGCTGTTCTCTGTCCTGGCCCCTCTCCCTCAGCGCTTCCTCTCTCAACATCAGCTCCTCCGCCTTTCTCTGTCCCGTCTTTCTTCCTGCCCCTCTGTTCCCTGTCTCCCTGGGTGCCTCCCTTCTGCTCTCCCTTTCCCCAGCTGCACTGCCTGCTCCTCCGTCTCCATCCCCGTCCCTCTGTAGCTTGCCTTGGCTTCTCTCTCTATGTCTTCCTGTCTGTCTTCCTCTCTTCTCTTTGGCCCCTTGCTCTGCCTTCTGCCTCTGTTTCATTTTCACGACTGTCTTTGCAACCCCCGTGTTTAGCAGGGCATTTGGCACATAGTAGGTGTTTAACAGATGCTAGTGGATTGATTGATCCATCTGCTCTTTTCCTGCCTCTTCCTTCCTCTCCGTGTCCTTGTCTTCCTCTGTCTTGTTTGTCCTCTGCCTCTCTGCTCCACTAGCCATCTCCTGACAGGCTCGGTTCCTCCCTCCCAGACACTGTCTGTCCATCCGTCCTTTGCTGTCTCCACCTGCCCATCCCCCACCTTGGAGTGGCAATCCCTGCTCCTGGACTGCTCTCTCTCTTGGTCCTTCCTTCCCTGCCTGTCTTTGCCTCTCAAAGTCATCCCTGCCTCTGCTTAGCCCTTTCTCTCTTTCTTCTTAAACCATTCAGGAAAAACAGCCACACTGAGAGAAAACAAGTAAATAAAAAGGCTTCCTAATGGCATGAGGAGATGATGCCAAGGCTTTGTTGCTATGGTGATGGGTCATGAGCTTGGGCTGAAAGGTCAAGCCTTGCCCAGCCAGGCTGAGAGGGAGCCATGGGATGGGGGCAGGGAGATGCAAATTAGAAGCTGGCAGAGAGAGAAGGAGAGCTGGAAGCTGCCATCAGGAGTCCAGGCTGGCACTGCCTGGGAACAGCCAGGTCTCCTCTGCTGTCTCAGAGACCCAGGGCTGCCCACCCCCATGCTCTGTCCTTGAGAGGGAGGAGAGGGTCATGGGGGATTCTTCTCTTTCTTGCCTCAGTGGTCCCTGGAGGGGCAGGGAGAAGATGCTTCATGGTCCTAAGGTGCCAGATGTAGGGAGCAAGTTGGAAAGAATAAAACCCCAGTCTTTTCTCACAAAGGGGTGGGAAGAGAGCCATCACCTTTCAGATATCTTGGCACATAGTCCTCTTGGGATTCCGAAGAGCCTTGGGTTCTATTCCTGGCTTTACTGTCCTTGGACAAGTCACTTTATTTCTGGGCCTCAGTTTCCTCATTTATAAAATGGGTGGGGTGGGCTCATTGATTACTAAGTTTGCTCCCAGTTGTATCCTGAAGGTCAGCCATTCCTCCCGCTTCCCAGCCCAGGAGAGAGGAGAGGTAGCCACAGAGGACCAGTCACACTGGAACGACAGTTGGATTTGGAAGCTGGGCCAGGTGATGGCAGAGCGCTGATTACAGAAGGAACTGAACGCTTTATTACCACTTTTCCATTCCACTCCTGATATAACTCCCTGTCACCCTTTCTCATGACTGTGGCTCAGCAAACCCCCCTCACATGCCTCCCAACGGTGTTTGGAGGACTCCCCAACTCAGCCAGTATATTGGAAATGGCTGCCCAAATGGAAGCCGAGTGGGTAATGGGGATGGAAGAAAAGCAAGTTGCTGCCATGACCCCTCTCTCTGGCTCTGCCTTTCACCCATCCTCCATTGCTTCTCTCTTTTCTGAGTAGACCAAGGCTCTGTGCAGAATGAAGACTTCCCTACCCAAGGCTTTTCAGCATTTGGAAGCTTCTGGAAAGGTTAGATCAGGGATTCTTAATCTGTTGGCCACGGACCCCTGAGTGCTCCTTGGACCTCTCTCCACTCCTCCCAAAGGTATTCATGGACAGATTTCAGGGGAATTGTGAACTTGGATGGGAAAAAAAATCTCTATTTTGATATAATTGGTTTCCTATCTGATCCTACATATTTTATACCTTTAAAAACCTGATTTTGAGACAGGTTTCATAGGCTTCATCGGCAAAAGGGGACAGGCCACCAAAAAATGTTAGAAACTATTAGAGGCATTAGCTGAAGTGGACCCAATATGGAATGATGGGCTTTATGGGGCCTGGGAGGATACTGAATAATAACATTCTCATGGAATTAGATAAACCAGGGAGGAGTTCAAGGGCTATTACCCCACCCCCCTTCCTACCCCCAGCTCCCTCCTCTGGGATCCTTCGGGCCTGCCTGTGGCTGCTGGGGCAGCTCTGTCCAGGGGCTCTTCCCTTTGCCTTGACAAAGTGGATGATAGAGCTGGGGACACTCCCCAGGCCAACCGGCACACGGACAGGGAGGCCACGGGAAGTGCCTCAGAGATCTCTGGGTCTGACCCCAGCCACTTCTGCACTTTGGCGTGGCGTCACTAATCCATAGCCCACGTCAAGCTGGATGTGCCAGAGACATCTCAAATGCAAAGCATCCCAAACAGAATCTGTGATCTTTGTCCCCAAACCCTCCCTTCTTCCAAACTTCCTATTTCTGTTGAGGGCTGTCCTTCTAGGCAGGAAGACATAGAAGGCTCCCGGCTGGGGTACCCGGGTGTTTTCAGTGTAAGCTGGGACCTTAGACATTGAGGATGGACTAAAGGAGCAGAGGGGGAAAGAAGAGTCAAAGGAGCTGCTGTCTCACCTAAAAAGGGAGGTCCCAGCAGGGAAGCCTCTGCCTGTGTCCCAGCTGCCAGCAGGCAGTGGATTGTGGGAAGACAGCTGCTTCTGGCAGCTTCCCTTGGCTTCCTACGTGTCCAGTCCTCAGCATCTGGAGATGAAGGGCTCGCTGGAGTAATTGACTGTCCTTGGAGCCATGGGCAAGAGGGATAAGGCATTAGGAATAGGAGCGATGGTGTAGGGAGCTGGGGGGATGAGCATATCTGACTGGGATGACAAGGAAGTCACTGGAGTGCTGCAGAATAGTGACCAACACTTATACAGTGCTCTAAGTTTTGCTAAGAACTTTATGATCTCATTGTAGCCTCACAACAAACCTAGCGGGTAGGTGATATTATCATCCCCCTGTTAATGCTAAGGAGACTGAGGTTAAGTGACTTGCCCAGGGTCATACATTTCATAAGTGTCTGAGGCAGGATTCAAACTCAGATCCTCCTAATGCTATCTCCTATGCCACCTAGCTGCCTCTTAATGATTCTTCTCTTCGGGTCTGTGCCAACCAGATGATTCTCAGGCTACATGACCCTGAGCATACGCTTTAGTGTCTCTGGGGCTCGGTTTCCCCAACTTTAAAATGAAGAGTTTGGACATGGTGACTCCAAGCTATCTTCTAGCTCTGACATGGTTTTATTTGCCATATATGCAGATGACCCCCACATCAGCATATCCATGCCCCGACTCCTTCCTGAATCCATCACCACCAGCTACCCGTTGGACGGTTCAAACTGGATGTCCTAGACTAGAGCCATCACAGACTCAACACGTCCAAAACAGGCCTCACCTTCTTTCCCCCAAACCTATCCTTCTTCCAAACTTCCTACCCAGGGTGGTGACCTCCTGGTTACCCACCTCCTCACTCTCCCCTACTCCACATAGCCAATCAGTGGCCAACTCTTATAATATCTATGTGAACAGAGGCAATGGATAGAGCATCAGCCCTGGAGTCAGGAGGACCTGAGTTCAAATCCGGCCTCAGACACATAACACTAGCTGTGTGACCCCGAGCAAGTCACTTAACCCCAATTGCCTCACCAAATACGTGTGAATGTGTGTGAACGACAGATTGTTCACACCTGTGCCGTTTCCATCAGTTAGCCTACTCATCCCCTTTGTTCGGGCCCTCATCCCCTCTCCCCCGACCTGCTTTCCCATCGTGGTGATGGGCCTCCCCATCCCAACCCTGTCCCCACTCTGATCTGTCTTCCGCACAGCTGTCAAAGTGATTGTTCTTAAGCACAGCCTGACTTTGCCATTCCCTCACTCAAGAGACTTCGGTGGCTCCTTTTGACTTGAGGATAAAAGATCAAATCCTCTTAAAGCCAGTTTGTCCCCAACCTATCTCTTGAGCCTCTTTAGAACTTAACCCCTTCCCTGCACATTCAGGTCCAGTCAAACCGGGCCGATCTCTGCACCTCAGATACCACACTTGGTCCTGTGCCTTTGCCCCAGCCCATCCTCCCTGCCTGGAATGCTTGCCCTGCTCACTTCACTTCAGACAGTCCCTTCCTTTATGACTCAGCTCAAACACCTTCTTTTTACAGGAAACATTTCCCCCGAGAGGGCCCTGCCTCCCCCGCTCCCAAACTGCCCGGTATGTACTTGGTGCACATCTACTCTGTGTACATTTCTATGTGCACATGGCGTCTTTCCCCCTGCGCCCTCTCCCCAAAGTAAGCTCCCAGAGCACGGGGGCCTGGCACATGCTAAAGGTCCAGTCAATGCTTGGTGATTAATTGGGTGACATCCTATGTTTTTGGTTCTTAGGATCAAAGCCTCATTTGTACAGCAGTCCTAGAGCCCGAGGGGACCTCTGAGTCCATCCTCTTCCTCTTAAAGATGGAGGGTGGGGGCAGCCCAGAGGTAAGTGACTTCCCCAAGGTCGTGCAAATAGGAAGTCACAGAGCTGGGTTTCACTGTGGGTCCCCTGACTCCAAATACCACACTCCTCCCGTTGTAGCAGGCTGGGCTTCCTGAATATTCTAAGGTTCCTCCCAGCTCTGACCTTCTCTGTTCTCAGGCCCCTCCTGCTCTGACAGTGCTCTCTGCCCCAACAACATCGGCCTATCAGCTGCTTCCCAACACATTTCTTGCCACCGTTTGGTTGCTCACCGCCCCCTATGCCAAGAACACCCTCCCTTCTGATTTTTGCCCATCAAAGTCTTACTTTATTGTACACCGCCTCCCTGAGAAGTCTTCTTCTGACTCTGATTCTCCCTAGCTGACCCTCCTCGGATGTTCCCGGACCCCTCTGTCCTCTCTACTCTATATCTGTGTTCTGGTAGTGTCCTCTGCTCTCCCCCCTTTCCCACTCATATTCTTGGAGGACGGGGATTCTGTCACTTTTTTAGCTTTGTCTCCCAGATGGAGCAGATGCTTCCCGCCCCACCCTACGAGCCTGGTGGCCATAGTAGGTGCTCAATAAATGTTTACTGAATGTCACTGAGAAAGTGCCTCCTGGATATCAACTTGGACGGAGAATGATTCCCCGTCTCTACCTCCAGCCCCCATCCCAGGATTCTTCTGGGTCAGTAGAGACACTTAGTCTGCAGGAGAAGGAAGCCTGGGGTTGTGTGGGTAGGGTAGCTGTGAGCAGTTCTGAGGCCAGCTGGGGTGGGGTGTGGTTTGGGGGGACAGATTCTGTGTCCTCTTCCCTAGCTCTCTAAGTCTCTGACTAGCTGGGTGATAGGATGCACCAGCTGTTTGAGGGGTATCTGCTCAGAGATGGTCCTGCGCCCTCCCCTACCAAACCTGATCATGCATCCCTTAGGGTCATTGGGAAGAAAAGGGCAGGCTAGGATCAGCTCAGAAGCTCCACCTCCCCTTCCCTGCCTCCCCAGGTCAGCCCACTTGTCCCACAACCTGCTTCCCCAAGATGACCTGGGCACTCTTGGATCCATGGATTAACATTTATTCACACACCTGCAGGTGCTGTACAGAACATTGAGTCAGACAGGGGTCCCTGCCCCTGGGGTTCACAATCTAAACAAGACAGAGACACACAGGACACAGACGAAGGGGAGGGGGACATACCCAAGGGAAAGACAGACGGCCCCAGAGAGCCAACACCCAGAACACAGAGGTGGATTCAATTCCGTCCCCTTAATTTTGGGTGGGGATGGGAGGAATGGGGAATTGCTCAGGATAAGCTTCCAGAGAACAGGGAGTATAGATAACGGGAGGACGCAGGAAGGGAGCCCGGCCTGCAGAACGGGATGGAGCACAAGGGCAGATGAGCTGTGTGGGGACGAAGGAGATCCAGGGTCTAGGAGGGCACTGGCACCCAGGGCAGGGCAAGCCCCCTGCCTTCAGGGCTCTCTGGGTCACCAAGGCAGGGGGCTTGGAAGGTTCACAGCTGGGAGGGGCCTCAGAACAGAGGGGGGGTCTAGTGACAGAACAAGAAGGGCCTCTGAATTCCTCTGGTCCTACTTCCTCATGGGACTGAAGCAGGACCGGGCCCGGGGGAAGCATCTTGCCCAAGGCCCCGAAGCATTAAGTGGCCAGGCCTGGCACCTCCAGGCCTTTGAATGGGTAATACCTGAGCACCTGGGCTAGTTGGTTTTTTGTGTTTTATTTTTTCCAGGGACTATTTTCCATGGGAAAAACTCAAGGCCCTGGGCCTTTCCTCCCTTTGCTCAGGGCCGAGTTACTTAGCAGTTTCCTCCCATGGCTCCTCCTGCCTCCATGAGAAGGGGAGTCGCCCCAGGCGGGGGTGGGGGGGGGGGGGAAAGCCGAGCCAGGTACCGCAGGGCCCCTCAGTGCTTGGACAAGATGGCATTCCCTCCCTGCCTAGGGACCGGCTTCCAGAGAGAAAAATAATGAAGTCTGAAGGGATATTTAAACTCAGCCCGAGTGCCGGGCAGGTACAGAACCAGCCGCCCTCACTCCTGGAGAGCTCCATAATCAGGGTCGGGGCAGGAATGAGGGTGGGGTGGGCAGAAAACCCGACTGGAACTTCCTTTTGTGCTCATGAGGGAAGCTGATTTAGCACCTTCTTCCTAGGAAACCCTGAGCACAGCTCAGACCTCGGTTCCTCCTTGGGAAGGACGGGGGCCGGGGTGCTTTCTTGCCCTTCTAGGGGTGGGGAACTGAGGCCCAGAGGACAGAAGTGACTTGCCTAAGATCACACAGCCAGTGCGGGGGAGGACTCAGGACCGGAACCCAGTTCTTGCAGGCTTAGGGCCAGCGCTGCCTCTAGGGCCGCTCCCCAGAGCTGGGGTGGGGGAGAGAACGTTGGTTTAGCTATTGCTATTTCACCAGGCCCAGGGCCCTGCCTAATTCCTCCTTCCTCCCCACAAACATCTGGGGAAGAGGAGGCGCTAGCTATAACCCACCAGGGCCACAGCTGGGCCTCCCCTTAGGGTGGTTGTGGTGGGGCCACAGTAAAACACCCCCCCTCTCCCCTACAGTCCTGGCTGGTCCACTCTGCCCCAGGTGAGGAACAAGGGGAGGGGGGTGAGTCTGTCCCAGTTCCTCCTGGGGGGGTGAGGGGCTCTAGGACTGCAGGGACAACAGCAGGAGGCCCTAAGGGGCTAATGATTCCCCTTGGGGGATGATAGCCGGGGAGTCGACAAATGGATCGGAGCCAGGGCTGAAGCCGGAGTCCACTCGAGGCCAGACACAGGGTGTGTGGTGGAGAGAGCCCCGGCCTGCCCCGCCCCACCCCATCTCCTTCACCTCCTCCTTCTGGGGGTGCTGAGGAACGGCGGAGGAAGGAGCCAAGGCCCTGCTTTTTCACTGTCCTTTATTAATCAGAACGGCCCCGCTCTACAAAAAGCAGGGCCCATTCCCACAAAAACAGGAATCTGCAAAGAGGAAATCTCGCTGGCTCAGAGGGTGTGTGTGGTGGGAACGGTTTTTATGGGTTTTTTTCCATTAGTTTTTCTTCCTTTCTCTTCACCGAGAATGTTGAGGTTTGTGGGTTTTTTTTGTTTTGTTTTGTGGTGGTGAATTTTTTCTTTTTTTCTTTTTTTATAAAACACTTGCTGGAAGAGGACTGAACAGAATAGAAAGAGCAGGGTCCCCAGCCTTGCGCCCAGCCGTACTGGGGGTCTGGGGCCACCTGAGCCTTGAGGCCGTTTGTCTCTCCCGTCCCCTCCCTCGGGCGCGTTGCTAGGTGAAGGACTGGGGGTGGGGGGGAGGTGGGCGGGGAGAACTCTGTACAGTAGTTACAGGAGGATGGTCACAAGAAAAAAGACATACCTGAAAAAGGTAATAGCTCTAGCATACCCCAGAGAGACCACGGATGACTCTCACATCTTAACAGGGACCGGCGGGACCCAGGACACTGGGGCGCCTCGGCCTCAGGGTGAAGCAGGCCTCGCTCTCCGGGCAGGCATGGTAACATTGCCCTTGGGTAGCCCCTTCAAAATCCAAGGGCATCCAGGGCACCCCTGGACACAGGTCAGGTGACCGCAACCTTCCAACCTCCCCTGTGAGGTAGGTGAAGCGTTAATTATTACCACCATTTTACCAGCAGAGAAGACGAGCCACGGGCTGCACGGGTGACTTTCCCAAGGTCCCTGGGGTGATGGGGGGGCTGCTTCTGGTCCCCCTGCTTCTCCCGTGTCCTGGTCACACCTACCTCTGGCCAGCCCCTTCCACCCTGACCCCATTCGGCTCTCCTACTTAGATGGCCAGCTGGGCACCCATCAGTCTGAGGACAGGCTGGGTGCCCTGCGCATGGTCTCATCAACCGTCCACGCCTCCATCCCATAAAGACCAGAGGGGGGCTGGGGAGCAGAGAGCTTCTCTCTCTGCCGTTCCTTCCTTCCTCCCTCCCTCAGCTGCAATGGGTCCCTTAAGGGGACAGCAAGGGTCAACAGTGCAATCCAAGGTGTAAGGTAAGGGGCAGGCTTGGGCAGGGTACAGGAGGAGGCGGAGGAAGCAGTGGGTCCCCATCCCCTTTAGTCTCCCTTTAGGAAAGAAAAGATACCACCCGGAGAGCATCTTTGCATCTGATTGGCCAAGAGCTGCACAGGCCAGGCACCGAAACAGAGACGCGCTGGCCCTGTCCACTCTAATACGATTTGGCTTGACCACGGCTGGGAATCACTAGCTAAGAATGGCAAGGCTGGGGGCTTGCTGGCCCCCCCCCGGCCCACAAGGAGGGGGAGGAGGGAAGGAAGGGGGAGACCCATGAAGCGCCCAGCGGCAGAAATCCCAAGCCCATTGACCCTTCACGTGCCCTCCCTTTATCGAGGCCTGCCCTCTTCTCCACTCTCCCCAAACTACAAACCCCGGGCTCCCACTCATCAAGATCTAGAGTCAGTGGAGGTCTTAGAGGCTGTCTGGTCCAAACCCCTCCTTTTACAGAGGGGGAAACTGAGGCCCCGAGAGGAGAAGAGTTTCTCCTGATCAGCTTCTTCATTCTCTTGGCTTTCTCTGAGCATCTTCACCCACAATCTCCCCTGCCCTGCTGTGCCTCTCTTTCCCCTCCCCTCTGGCTTCCCCTGAGGGCACCATCTCCCCTGTTCCATTTCTGCCCTCCACACAAGCCTGAGCCTTTGTGCCATGGATTGGATCATAGAATTTAGATCTGAAAGGACCTTCTAGACTACTCCCTCACCTTCCCATTTCACCAGTGAGGAAACAGGGATGAAACAAGCTTCCCAAGGTCACATGGTCAGTTATGAAATGACAGAACCGGGAACAGAATCCAGATCAGAGGAGCCCAGCTTTTTCATTCATTCATTCATTCATCCATCCATTCATTCATTCATTCACAAGATGAGAGAATCCTAGATTGAGCACTGGAAGTGACCTTAGGTCACCTCGCCCAACCCCCATATTTTTTTAATGAAGAAACTGAGGCCCAGAGAATCAAGTGACTTGCCCAAGGTGACACAAGGTGAAGATGAGGGAGGGCAGAGTCATGCCCTGGGCAAGGCTGGGCCTCAGGGCTACTGGGAATTATTATCTGTGACGGAGGGTGGTTCAGTACTGAAGTCCACTAAGACAGGCTGGGGTATCCGATTCAGAGCCTTAAGAACTGCGTTCAAATCCCTGCTCCGTCTCTAATTCCGGTGTGACCATGGGCAAATCACCTTTGCCTCATTCAAAGATACTCTACACTCTGCTCGGAAGGTCCCTCTGTGTGCACCATTCTATGCTCTGAGGTCTAGGGTCCTTCCGGCTCTGACAGTCTCCGCTCTGACGTCCCTCTGTGTCTGGGAGTGAGGCAGCCTCTGCAGCTCACTCCAACTTCAGGAATCCGTATTAGCCCAAGCCTCCTAGACATGGCAGGTTGGAAGTCACCCCCAAATCCAAAGACCCTTGCCCCACTGCTGACCTAGGGGATGGGTTTCTGGGGATCACCTGCAGCCTTCCCTGGGGTGCCCTTTCCCCTCCCCCTCCCCTCCCACCCCAAACATGGTGGGGCATCTGCTTTTTCTTCTCCATCCCACATCTTTTCTGCAAGAGCATGGGCTGGCAGCTGCCACTAGTCCATGATGTCTATTTGCCATCTGGTGGCCAGTGTGGGGAACTGCAGGTCTACGCCTGGTCCTGGGGGACTCAGGCTTTGTTGGTGGGAATGAGCTGACTTTGAGCTGGGATCACCCAGAAGCAGGGAGCTGGCAACAGCTTTATAGGAGCCAGGCAGGGGCACTGGCGTTGCCTCATCATCTCAGGAACCTTCAGATGGCTCCATCCTGCTTCTCTTGGCAAGGAGCGAGCTGTGAGGTAGGGCAGAGGCAGAGAAGGGAATGAGAGAAGGTGTGGCTCTTGCAGAACCTCCTTTACGCTGGTCTACTAGGTGCTCAGAAATACTTTGGGGGTCAATTGATGGGCAGCCCAACTCTCAGCATCTGGGGGGATAGTCCTAGCTGAATGGGTCCTCCACTGGGTTAGGTGCTAGGCTCAGGCAGGGAGGGGAGAGGAGCCTGTGACATCATGGGCTTGACTAGACAATCTTTGTAGCGTCTTCGAGCTTGGACTTTCTAGGTTCCAAGATCAGCTCAGACGTTTTATGCTCTAATGACCCTTCTGGCTCTGACCTTTATGATCTTACTTTGCATGTCTGACTTACGTTGCATGTTCTATGTCCTAAAGCCTCTCTTAGCACTGACATTCTGTGCTTTATATTCTAAGACAACTCCCGTCACCCCAGTTCTGATGTTCAGTGTTCTAGATTCCCCTCCGGTTGTGATGATATGGCGGCCAAAGTCTCTTCTCGTTCTGAGAATCCACGTTCTAAGGTCTGTCCGCTTCTCATATTTGATATTTAAAGGTTCCTTCCAGTCCTGACGATCTGTGTTCTAACATTCCTTCCAGCTGTACGGTCTACCTTATAAGGGGTCCACTGGTACCAACATTCTGTGTTTTAAGGTCCCTTCCAGCTCTGACATTCTGTTTTTGAAATTATCTCCCAGGTCTGAAAACCTCCATTCAGAGTTCCAAGGACTCATGCAGCTCTCTCATAGGCTACATTTTAAGGTCCCTTCCAGCTTGGACCTTTCATGTCCTAAGGCCCTTCCCTCTCAGGTCTGAGATTCTCCATTCTAAAGTTCCCTCCAATTCTGACAGTGTGGGAGGGAGGTGAGAAGTGGGGTAGCCACCTGGGGAAGGCTGGAAAGGAGGAATAAGGGTCTGAAAGAACAGGTGAGAAATCTAGAAGTCTAGAAGAGGGACCTGACAGGGCTGGAAGGAGCACTTTTCCAAGTGAGAATGAAGGCAATGGGATCTTGGAAGTGGGAGGACAACATGAGACCACTTTTTGGGAAAGGAAGGGCCAGGACCCACTCAAAGGATCCAGGGATGGATCCAGGCCCACTTGGGCACTGTACATCCATGCCAGGGGCAGTGGCTGGGACCAGCCTACTTAAAAATTCTCAGAAATGGGGTTACTCAGCAAGGGAGATGGCTTTGGGGGTGATTGACTATTTACTGGAAGAGCCTTGGAGACTTAGCTCACACGGAGATGATGTACCACGTTGGCCATGGAGCACTCAGAGGCTTGAACTATGGTGATAGAAACTGATAACTGTTGGTCTAGGCTTTTCTCTAGGGAGAACATGGGGCTAGGGCTAGGGACATATGGAAGCAAAACAGAAGAGGGGCAGTGGGAGGTGGTGAAACTAGGACCAGATTTGTACAAGTGAAAGGACACGGGTTCATGTCTCAGCTCCGTACTTGCTACTGCTGTAATCTTGACTCAGTGACCTAACCCCTCTGGGCCTCAGTTTCCCTATTTCAAAAATGAGAGGGTCAGACTAGATGGTCTTAAGAGGGCCCTTTTAACTCTAACTCCTAGGACCCTACACCTATTTTTATGCTAAAAAATTACCACATGTACTAAGTATTTTTCATACCTACAGAATTTCATACTTCATGTTTGAGAAGGAAAATGAGAGCCAGCATGTGTATTTTCTGCAGAAGCCCCATTCCGTGGTGGGGAGAGCCATAAACACAGTTTGGAAAACCCTGGCCCAGATCATCAGACACAATCCCCTCGTCTCCAGGAACTGGAGGGCAGAGACTAGAATAGGAAACAGCATTCTCCTTGTTCTCAAACCAGCACGAAGGCCCAGCCTTTAAGCGGCAACAACACTGGACATGGGAATCAGAGGACCAAGGTTGTGTCTGAGCTCTGCTACTTAGGACTTTGGGTGAGTCTGGGCGTCTGCTTCCTTGTTTGAAAAATGAGGAGCTTGGAAAAACTGTCTTGCCAGGCTCCTTCCAGCTCGAGATCTGATGGGATATTGGACGTGTGGAACAAACAGGGCTGTCCCTCCTTCCTTCTCACTGTCTTCCTTCTCTTTTCTCCTTACGGATGCCCCTCAAACTTCCCTTCACCTCCTCTTTCCCTATCCCACCATCCTCTCTTTATCCCTTCGCCTTTCTCTGCACCCCTTACCCTTTCCAAAGCCCCACCCCTCAGCACAACCTCAGGACCAGCGCAATGAGCCATCTGGAGCCCTCGATGATGGGCTCCCCCCCCACTCACATGCGTGGGCGCACACACACGAAAAGGTTGAACACAGCACATGTACACAGGACCTTGGCTCTGAAGCCAGGCTATTTATACCCCCTTGGCACACAGGGGCCCGCAGATGGCTTAAAAATCCCAACCCCCCAGAGGGGAGGAGGGCCATTCTGGCCAGGCCAATCGCCATGGCCTTAGCGTGCCCTCGCCCACTGCAACCAGGGGCTGGCTGAGGCTCGGCCAGCCCACAGCTCCAGAAGCCACCTTAAAGAAAATGGCGGACAAGCCAAGCTCCGCCAGGTGGGGCCTCTGGAGGGATCTGTCTGTCCTGCCGTCTGTCCATCTCTCTGTCCATCCATCTCTTTTGTTCTCTCTCTCTCTCCCCCTCCTGTTTCTTTAGTGTTGGTGAGTTGAAGAAAAGGGGCAAGCAGGAAAATGGCTCCCAAAGGCCCCCTAAATGGGGGGAGGCTAGCGCTTCCTAGAAACATGGCCATACTGAGTCCTGGGCCCCCTCCCTGGCTGAGCCCACAGGGGTCCTTCCCCCCACCCAATGAGGGAGCCACGCCCGGGGCGTTGTGCATAAAGTGTGAAGGCGTGACCCCCAGACCATGGGCCCATAGCCCCACCCCCAGGGCCTCCCCAGGCCCTACTCAGGCCTTCAGTTGGTGCCACTGAGCCACGGGCTGCCGAGGTCGGGCAATCATGTCCTTCCAATGCTTCACCTCACCAGGACCGCTCTTCCAGGACAGATAGATCTGGACAGAGGAGAGTGAAAGGGGGAATCAATCACTCAATTATCAAGCATTTATGAAGTGCCTACTGTGTACTGGCCACTCTGCTAGGTGAGCCTTTAGCCTATCCTGGGAGATAACAGACATGCATGAAAGTGTAAGTATACAAAGTAAATGCAAAATTATTTTTTGAAGGGAGGTACTCACTGCTGGGGGTGTGGGGGTGGCTGTGCGTCAGTGAAGGCCTTATGTAGAACCTGGTGCTTAAGCTGAAACTTTGAAGTAAGAGGCCACAGTGAGGAGGGAGGGCAACCCAGACATGGCGATCAGCCTGGGCAAAGGCACAGAGGTGGGAGATAGACTATGTGACAGGAACGGCAAGAAGCCCATTGGGGCCGACGTTCAGACGTGTTGAGAGGAGGGATGCGTGCTGAAGGTGGAAAGGTGGGAAGGGGCCAGTCCCAAAGAGCTTTGAATACCAAACTAGGGAGTTTTGGGCTGATTCTAGAGGTAAGAAGGGAGACAATGGGGTTTCCTGATGGGGCCTTGAGAGTCAGATCTAATTTTAGGACTCTTACTTGGCGGTGGGCAGGGAGGCACACTGGTCGCTAGTGCAGCAGGCCAGGCTCTGACCCTCTAGGGCTATGGGACCTTTCTGAGCCTCTCTTAAATGGGGGGGGGGTAATTTTTACAGGTTGTCCTAAGAAAGTGCTTTGAAAACCTTGTGACCCTATAGAAATGTGAGTGATGATTGCCCGGATCATAAAATCACAGATTTGGAGCAGGGAGCCACCTGTGGTATCATCTGGGCCCACCCAGGCTTTACAGATGGGGCCACTGAGGCCAAAGAGGCTCAAGGGACTTGCCCACAGTCACGCCTTCGGGGAGTTAGCTCAGAAGAAACCAGGCATCCAGGAGAAATGATGCTGGGGGGGAGGTGGGCCTGAACAGGAGAGCTAACACGATCTCAACATTATGAAGGAAAGTGACTGAGACAGACTTCAGGGCTCTGATCAAGGTAATGATCACCCAAGAATGCCAGAGAACCAAAGAGGAAGTGGGCTGCCCATCCTTGGATGGGGAGGAGAGGGACTCAGGTGCAGAGCTCGCCAGGTGTTTCCAGGCAAGATTGTTACAATGCAGATTTGTTTGGCTCTAATGTCGTGTTACAAAGAGCAGGGCCAGGGAGGAGAAATGGGTGCAAGAAAATGGGAAGGAAAGGAAAAATGGAGTGACAATGAAATACTCAAAGATGTACAGAGTAGAGGTTCTGAGGGGATGTGGGCAAGCAGGGCCATGCGAATCCTTGCTTCCTTCTCTTCCTCCCTCCTTCTTTCCTTCCCTCCTTCCTTCCTTCTTTCCTTCCTTCCTTCCTTCCCTCTCTCTTTCCTTCCTTCCCTCTCTCCTTCTTTCCCTCCTTCCTTCCCTCTCTCCTTCCTTCCTTCCTTCTTTCCTTCCTTCCTTCCCTCCTTCCTTCCTTCCTTCTTTCCTTCTTTTCCTCTCTCCTCTCCTTCCTTCCCTCTCTCCTTCCCTCCTTCCTTCCCTCTCTCCTTCCTTCCCTCTCTCCTTCCTTCCTTCCTTCTTTCCTTCCTTCCTTCCCTCCTTCCTTCCTTCCTTCCTTCTTTCCTTCTTTTCCTCTCTCCTCTCCTTCCTTCCCTCTC